CGTAGTTTTGGAACGTTATGTAAAGATACAGGGGAAAAGCGTCATCCAAGGAAGAACGAAACTTGGGTTTGAATAGAATGTGCATGTGTCGTCCATGTATATTTTTGGCCCGTAATTTTTTACTGTAATTAGCTTTATTACAGAGAGGTTATAATGTACGGTGACCGTGATTAATGAAGGGAAGCCCTTATAATTTGAACAATCCGATGTTTCCTATGTTATATTATATAAAAATCTTCTAGTGGAGCTGATGGCCCTAGACAAACAAGGCGAAAGGAACGTTACTACAAAAGCATCGCAAAATGTAAAGCGGTGTCATTACTAGGAAATTACATGGGAAAGATTTCATTACTACTATTATTACTGTTGTTATTTTATCAAGGAAGAAGCAAACAATTCATAATAAAAGACGTTACATAAAGTATCTATATATGACAAGAGCGCCATATACGGCGCCCAATATGACGCCAATTCGTTCGCGTATATTACGCATAGGCACGGCTCGTTAGAAGTGATATAATTAATTATGGTTACTGCACATTTAATCTATTCCTTATAGCTGGCAGTCTTGATGTGGCACTCTACCGATAAGATTTACGTGAAACGTGTATATATCTGTATAATCCTCGGCAACCCACTGAAGTCATTCTTGTTACCAGCAAAAGGTACAAAGTTCGTTGGATGCATATTATAAGCCATCAGTATTTGTCGCACGAAGTCAATTTTGCCACACGGTGTTGTCGTAAATACAACAGCAGCCGGCTGCGGTGGCTAACACCAGCAACTGCAGCGTCATCGAGGGCACAAGGAAAAATGGGCGTAGGGAAATCAAAAAGAAAAGAGTTGCTTTAGTGATGACACGACACGGTACGCTTGCTCGTGGGGCGTCGTCCACTAGCGACCCGCTCGCTATCATGTTGTAAATGTAAACTGGTTCCGATGAATTGCGAAGTCCTTACTAGGATGGACAATTTCGGACGCTGTTGCTAGAAAATCCTTCAATTTTTCCGCTGTGCCAATGTACTCTCGATTGACAATGACAGAGATGAAGCGTAGTTGTCGGCAGACAATATTCAGTTAGTGTATGATGTTGGAAATGCACGTCTTTTTTCCGCTAGACAACAACAGTCAGCTTGTCCTGCCAACGTCATGGTTGCCGTATAGATTCAGGTTTCGTTTGACATCATTGTAAGATGTAACAATGTAAGAAATCGCAATGGTTATCGCCAATGCAACCGCTAGTAGTTATACCAGTAAGACGATCCGTTAGCCCAATGCTGGTCCGTCCCCAAACGGAACTAACATGATTTATCCCTGAGTTCTTGCGGCGTTGAGGTGGAATAGATCGACCTAGAGCTCTGCCTTCTTACGCTGTACAACATAGGCACATGCGCTTCGTGCAGCTTCTGCTGTGTCTCTTGTTTGTGGGCATAAGTTGCGAAAATACAAGAGTGCACAAAGCGGGTAACGCGTACGTATACGCTATGCGGTTTTGTTTGTCTACCTCTGGATGCCACCGGGGTATGTAAAGGGGCAGAAGACAGCTTTTCATATTAAGCTGGTCCGTTTCAGAATTCGACTGAGTGATAACGGTGATGATAAATACTGGTACGCTATATGACTTCGTCTGCCTACCTTTAGATGCCACCGGGGGCATAGAAAGAGGCAGAAGACACTCGCCTTTTATATCATCCGGATCTGTCTCAGAAGCCGACAGAGTGATAATGATGACGATAAATACTGCTGGTTTATATAATCCGTAAGATACAAAGGTAAGCGATAGTATCGATCGCACGCCTACCGCCCGTTCCCTGCCTGACTAGGACGCATGTCATCGTCGTGAGTGACACGTACGTATTCAATTGTATTGCTTAACTGTCTACGCCCTGTTATTCATATTGAACACAGCGCAAAATAGCTCTATCTTATGCCAGTAGTCAATAACGCTATCTGGACTCGCCGAAGCTTTTCTACAGAATATATATACGTTGCTAGCGGCTTTCGTTTAGATCCACACGGTTAACGCACACATATACGCGGAGAGTGTACGCTATTTCTACCCTGTTACTATTGCCATCGGTTAAAGCAAATCTCGACGCCAGTCGCTGATACTGCTATCGGTCGATTTGGCGTAAATCGCCTAAAGTATGATCAACAGCTCTCGAATTTTGGCCATCAACAACCGATAGTGACAGAAATTTCATAAAACTAGCTCACATGTACAGGCAAGTATCACTCTCCGTATGGTAGCAGTATTAATGCTGGCCATACTAGCAGTGCTCCACCGTCCCGTTTACGCCAATATGTCTTGCTCGGGAACTCCAAATACTGTGTATTGTTTTTGATATAGTTATTGCCGCCGTCGCCGTCGCCGCTGTTACTGACCATCGTTCGATATGCCGATGGCAGCGACAATTTGTCGTCATGGTCTATGGCGATTCACGAAAAGGGAAGTTGATAAAGCATATGAT